AATTTATGGAGTGTCAACAAGATATCTTCGATTCCTGCCACAAACCCAGCAGGTTGGGGTGTGCATGAGAACAGAGGTTTTTGGAGTGCAACAAAAACGAGGTGAGTTTAAAATTTAATATATGGCTAAGTATTGCCCTGTGTTGTAATGCATGTTTTGTACGTGCATTGCAATACTTATTACAGTATGTTCAATATTATGAAGTAAAATGTAAAACAATATGTATAGTTAATCACATGATTTTGAGTACAATTTGGAATAAATAGGCATGAGTTAATTTTTTCAAAGACTAACAAAATTGCATAAGCCTGTAGGCTGAGAGCAATTTGTGGTCTCTGAAAAACGCTACAAGACTTGTTTAATCAAAATTGCACAAGATAACTCATCTGAATACGTATTAATAATATACATGAAAAAATACGACATAGCTTATCATAATTATGCAAGAGCAAAGTGCATGCATTAAGTGCAAAAACAATTTATTCAAACCCTGCAAGTGACATTGTGCATTTGGTCAAAACAACGGTTTACAATCAAGACAATAATATACAGTGACATTTTCACATCTTTAAGGCCCAAAAAAATTCAAAGTCCAGCTAAGTCCAGTTCAAGGAATTGTTCAGTCTATTTTGTTATTTCTTTGCACTGAATTAACCCTCTACTGCATTGAATTACCTGAGAACTGCATTTATCTTAAGCAATCAGAACTGAGTAATTTTTCATGTATCTGTTTAACCCTTTCAAGATCAGTGTGCACATTATCCATACTGTTCTCTATGCATTTTCTGAGGTGCTGACATTGTCAGTTTGTCTAACAATCAAGAGCTTTTTTAGTTTTTTTCCTTCGTTCCCACGACCTTAATGTTTGATTCAGGGGTGATAATGTAAGGAGAAATGCAATGCTAGTCTCTCTTAGAGAGTCAAAGGGTTAAAAATGCTCAAGCTTCTGTTTAGTATGTAAATCTTCTTTTTATTTTATAAATTATCTATAAATTGAAACTACATATATGTGAGTAGAGGCAAAAGTGATTGTTTTCATATTATAACTTAGAGAAACTAAGTTATAATATGGTCCAGGTCCTTAAGAAATTATTTTATTAATTATTTCACGATAATTGATATGTAAAATGATGTATGATGTCAAGAATGATGTCGTGTTATGCCATTTTACAATAATTGGTTCGATAGAACAGGCAAAATACACAATGGTGTTACAGTGTAGTACAGGTCAAAATTCTACTGGGGAGTGCAGTGAAAAGTTGTGAATGCTAATTGATCTAAACTTTGGTTTGTTTACATCATTAAAGCTTAAATATTTGAGCAACAATGTTCAATCACACAATGGGTTACTCTTGTGCAAATCGGGCCTGCTGGGTAATTTTAGTGAAGTTGTGTCATGTGATGGCAGTTTATGCACATTCGCTGCTGGTGCCTCGTCTTCAAGAATCTTAACCTCTACTAAGCAACAAGAATAATGGACTGGAAGAAACTAACTTTCGTGTGAAACATGTTATAAAGAACACCTGAATATATTTAGTTAAGCTGCTTTCATCTTTAACAAATGCCTAGTAAATAGGAAATAAGTGCGATTGTCAAATAATGCCATAAGTTACTTTTAAAAATAGGAACAAACTACTTTAAAAAATGTAATACAATCATTTTTTTCCCAAAGTAGTCACTTTGGAAGTGCATTGTAATGTTTCAACTGCATACAGTCTTCTTCAGATGATAAGGTAGACTGAGTATCTGCTCATTAGAAACTTTCTGCTTAGCTGTAATTGGATAGAATCTCACGCCTTGATTGGCGCATTTTGTCGAAACATTCCCTCGGTGGTCGGCTGTCATTGCTCCCCTGCTGTTGTTTGTCTTGATTATTGGCATCCCAGCTTCTAGGATTTCTATTCCACTGTCCCTGTTGATGTTGTTATGTCTTATGTTGACTTATAGGACATTTTGAAGACGCAAAATAATAGTTCCATAATTAATCCCTTAATAGACCATTGCCTCATGCACACTAACAAAACATTTTGTGTGTGTACATGATGGTCATTCAATTAATAA